AATGTAAATAGAGCTCGCTTCCCAAACACGGTCTTGAAGTACCTTTTCTCAAAAAGCAACTCGTAAATGGCTTTGATGATCACCCACTCTAAATGTTCAAGCTCAAACCTGTTGACTGCTGCTACACAAAACACACTTTAGAAACAAATGCACAAGCACAATGAACAAAGATTCTTCAATTAAAGCTAAACTCACTATACTCATTATACTGGGTTGGCACGATAATCTTCAAGATGACTTACAGAACTAAGATGACTGACAGTTCTTTATCGAGGTCCAAATCCCCCATATAAAGGGTGAATGTAGACTCTGGGGCAATACCACCCTTGCAATTCTTCCCTCCACTTAGGGATGTAAATTTTGCTCCTCGGCCCAAGCACGAGTTAGCCCATGTGGCTTGTCGGCTAGGGCCATTTTCGGCATGTGAGAGCCAAACTTAAAAAAAAAAAAATTGAAATGAAGACAGCAGCATGGTATTGTTGCTAGCCTTTTTTAAGACAACAGCTGTTGCACATATTTTATTTCAAAAAAGAAAAAAATCAAGTACGCTCGACTTGATAAGGCTTGAGTTGAAAGCTCGGTCAAGCCAAAAAATTTTTGCCGAGTTCAAGCCTAAAGTTTCGGCTCATTGACATCCCTACTTCTACTAAAGGCTTAGAGCTGAAAAGTGTTTAGAAAATGTGGAGAGACATATCCTCTCCAAGAATGACCTTCTTCCAAGGAATGAAAGTCTTTGCCAATTGGCTCTATGCATTGGGCACTAATTGGATGAGAGCCAAGTTGTATTGCCTAAGAATATACCTAAAGAATGGGTGCAAAGGCAACTTCATTCTCCACTCAAAATCAACTCGCTCTTCGCGACACACCCCTCCATGGTCGCTCATCAAGAGTTGGGACAAACATCTCTATGGTATCAGAGATCTTATACCTTTTCCTAAAGGTCTCCAACTTACTTTCCTTCACACAAGTCGGCCACAACGAAGCCCCCACCTAACATCATAATCTATGGAGACTGCTAGCATCATCCACGCACTGTGTGCGCCTCCCATGGCATCTCTTATCCTCTCTGTGGGGATCAACAGAGGCTAACCAGCCTCGGCACAAATTAGTGCCATATTCACCCTTTCAGACGACCCCCTTGTCATTTTCTCTTCTTTGAAGAAGGTGCCATTGAATGATTATCTTACAACAATAATGTGAGAAAATATGAGGTTCTCACCTACAAAGATCACGAAATAACATAGAAATGTAGACAGAAGTACTCGCCGGGACAATGGCAACGATCGAAAAATTTTGAAATAGATTTCTCAAAGGGTTTGGGAGATTTTTTGTAAAGTATAAAGGTAAGAAACAGTTTTCTTTCTCCTTTTATAGGCAGCATGAGTAGAGCATCACCGTTGGATCAACTCAGAAACAATCTAAGACGTACACCTGTACTTTCATCATACACGTCGAAAAATCGAACCGCGCTTTTTGAAAAATTGATCGACGAGCTTGATAAATCCATGCACAGCACGTTCACAATGGGTGTGTCAAAGCGCCATAATTTTACATGCAATCCGCATATGAGTAACTCCAAACTGTGGTGCTACCATATCTTAGAAATAGATGATATTTTCACATCATTACAGCAAGCGTCCCATCAACAGGCTCACCCTCATTAGCAAAGCCTTATCAACGGTTGCCTCTTTCTTTAATGGGCTCTTCATTATGCAAAGGGCATCAGTCAAGTTCAATTCAGCTTTATCAATGATTCCCTCTTCCCCTAATGGGCTCTTTCTTATGCAAGGGGTCTTACCCAAGTCCAATTAAGCCTATCACAAGTTTCATCTTCTCCAAAAAGCTTGCCTAAGTGTAAGGGCTTAGCCTTAGGTCAAATTCGCAATCTGCATAAAAAAATCTACTTATATTGTACATTCTAAGTCCACGCATTATATTAATGTTTATATATGGACTTGAGGACTATTGTTAGGCCTCTTTCAATAAGCCTCTAAGCATTATCAAATGGCAGCCGCACAGTAAGATAACCTAGGCACATACTCCACATCATTCTGCACATGTGATAATTTAGCCTAACCTCATGGAGCCAAGCCCTAATGGATAATGGATGAGGCGAGGTAGATAGAGGCATCTTAGGAAAGATCTTCATATAAGATCTTGTAACAAGTGGGTGATGCGACAGCTCACTGAATATGCGTCTCTACTCAACCAACAAGTCAATTCTAGCTTTTCATGTCAGGCCTAGGGCTTTAAATGGTCATCACTTAAATGCATTTGAGCCTAGGTCTGACTGATTGATACCTATGACAAGAGGCCACATGTCTCTTCATCTAACGATTCTTACTCACAATCTTCCACTATAAAAGCTCACATTTGATGTCATTCTAGAGGCAATGCAAGCATAAATTCTCAAACTATAATTTTGCCATATTACTATTTCACTATCTACTCCCAAAACCGACTCTCTTTTTATATGGGAGGCTCATGTCTAAAGCACTTCCACACTAATATGTACTCCTCCAACTGACTTGATCACCAGAGTGCGCACGGCTATCTTTATCCCTATCGAAGAAGGCCACGTGTGGCTAACGATTTGTTCAAGTGTGCAGGAATACAGCTAGAGTGGACATGAGAGGTTTTGAGACATGTTGTCCACGTTGAAGATCCACTTTTTGAGGTCAATAAAGTTGTTACTAGATGTACGGAAGAGAAGGAAAAAAAAGAATGACCTGACATCCAGCCATACCATTGACATTTATCTCATCATCTGACCAAAGGAGCTTGTGAGCTCTTCAGAGTTGACATGCTATGTGCCATGTCTATAATAATCCTCTTGATTTGCTTCTACTACTATCATTTGTTGTGCCATGACTATAATAATTGGTTGGATAGTAATGCGTCATTTTTTTTAAATGTTCACCAAAGGACTAACAAAATATATTAATGAAATTCTTAAAAAAATAAACTTTGGGAAAGAAAACAAAAATAAACTCACTCAACTAATTATTTTGTAAAATTAACATTTCAAAAATGTAATTTACATTTGCTGTCATCTTCTTCCTCATCTCTATCCGTGTTCTAATGTTACTTTTACTTTTCTTTTATCGTCTCTCATTTCCTTGTACTATTGTACCCTTGTTGGAATCTGGTTTTAAAGAATTGAATTTTGGTTAAGTATAAACCTTGGAAAGTGTCATTGTATTCAATTCGGTCAAATATTTAGACTTGATTCGATAGTTAAATTATAAATATAAATAAACTAACTTGTTCTACTCGTCGAGTAAATCATCGTGGTATATTTGGAATTTCAAAATCAATTATGGATGAATAAAAAATTGCGATCCAAAATTGGAAGGAAAATAGAGGAAAATTGGCCTAGACTTTTGCCTAAATCTGTCACTCACCTATCGCCCGAGCGACGGGCAGGTGAGAAATTTCTGTTAAAAATTTTGACACTGACGCTCAAGTGAGAGGTCAGCGACAGGCTAGCAACAACAAGTGATGCTTTTGTTCATAAGGTTACGAGATTTGGTACGCAACACTTTACCTACAACCCTTCATCCTCTATATATAAGACCCTTTGGACGTTTATTTATAATTCAATATCATTCTTTTCATTTAATGTTGCATAAAACACATAATCAAAAGTAGTTTTCTTTGCATAACATTCATAGTTAAAGAGAGAATTTAGTTCCAGTTCGTTGGTCTAAACCATTTGGAATGTTCTTATGGCTTGACGTGGTCATTACATCTTGGAAAATGATTGTCAAGAAATTGTTAGCATCGATGCAAGACAAATTCATCTTAAGGACAAAGTATCAAACACTTGTCTTGGCCAATCGCATTATTTGCATCTCCTCTTTCTTCTTTCTGATTTCTTTCTAAAGTAGTATTTCATTTCAAAAATTGACCTACATTCTTTTTCACTTAAGGTTTGAATTAAAGAACGTAATGACTTTCATTTGAAGAATATAAAAGATTGAATCTGTCGTCACGTATTCGACTTTGGTAATTATCATTTTGCCTTCTCAAATCTCATTTCGGTAAGTTTATACTATGTTCATGTAAAAGGTATGTTTTGAAAATATAATGTGTTTTGAGAATATAATGTATGCACATTATCGATGTAATATCCCCCAACAACTCCTTCGCTTGGTTGTGCATTTATGTCACTTGGAAACCATGAGCCTCTCAAATAGAAAACATAGGAAGAAAAGAACTAGCAAGTGACAGGACGATTTATGAGCCTCTATTGAGAGGAAGAAGACTATTTCTAATAAAACATTTTGAGTTTCAAAATGGAAAAGTAGACATTTGGTTTACTAAAAAGACCATTTAATAAATGATAATTATATTACCACTATAAATTTTTCTAATCGCACCATAATTTTCTTATTTACTAAAATATTTTTAAGTTAAATTACATGATTAGAACTTTAATATACTTTTTAATTAAATAAATTTTTGTTACACCACAAATATAAAGCCTAAGGTTAATTATATTATCACTATAAATTATACTAAGTGCATCACAATTTTCTTATTTACTAAAATATCCTTAAGTAAAATTACATATTTAGAATTTTAATATACTTTTTAATTAAATAAATTATTCTTACGTCACAAATATAAAGCTTAATTTCTTTCTTTCTTTCTCCTCGACGTCTCATTGTTCATAGTGTTTTCGACGACTTTTTCCTTCTTCCACGGGGGCAAGATAATCTTTTTCCATTATGGTGGGGTGTTTGAGCCACATTATTTTGGTAATAATGCATTCTTGAATAGTGTATTGATGAGAAATGTATAGTTAAAAAATAAGAATTTTTTTTTTCATTTACGTGTAATATTATTTTATTGAAGAATGTGTATTTGAAATGATGTCAAGTCACTATTTAAGAATATTTTTTTTTAAATAATGTGGCTCAAACATACCCATGGTATATAGATAAACCGTAAATAAATTTGTGTATATATACGAGCGTCAATTTTCATGGATTTTTGTTTTTGGGGGGTAATATAATTAGCCTTTCGTTAACAATGGTTTTATGTTGGGATAATTGAGAATCCACAAAGACAGAAATATGCAAGGCGACGAAGCCAAAACCTTACTGGGATTTCCTCCGCATTCTTATCCCTCCACGTCCCAGGTCTTGTAGTTTTTAATTAGGGTTTTTCTTCAATATTGCAGATTTTGTTTTGGATTAATTTTTCAGCTTCGAATTTTCTGTATCATATGGGGAATGAACAAATGCCCCAAACTTGATAATCAATAGAGCGCTTGAATACCTCAAAGATTTATTTGAAATTGTGCAAGTGTTGATCAGAATTACCTAACTGAATTGAATCGTGTTATCAATTTTAGATTAAGGCCGCTTACAGAAAGAAGGTTTGGGAAACTCATCCCGATCGATTTCCAAATTATGAAAAAGTTCAGGCCGAGTGTAAATTCAAGTTGGTAAGTGAATGACTGCACATTAAAATAGAATGCCTGTATAAGATATTCTTCTTCGACTTTATCCCAGTAGAAATTTTTATTTTTTGAATCCTTGAGCAATTGTTGCTCCGATCTGATGTAATAGTTTTAATGCAGATTTCTGAAGCTTACAGTTTCCTCCTCAACTCTGGTAATCCTCTCATCTTCATAGATTTTTATTTATTTATTTATTTATTTTATTTTTAAGGTATCTATTGGTCATTAGTTTTTTAGTTAGGCACAGAAAATTTTGAAGCAGCTACCATTTTCAACTTGACTCTTCAAGTTTCAATAAATTCTGGGCCAGTAATGTTTCAATAGCTGGGAATTATGGAATGTGCCAAAAAATAATAAAAAATATATATATAATAATAATAATAATAATAATAATAATAATAATAATAATAATAATAATAATAATATTCAGGAATATATAGACATATAGAGAGAAAATATTTTGAAAGCATAAGATGCTTTACATCAAGATGAGTCTGAATTTGGGATGAAACATGTACTCACCAGATTCTGAATCCACTTAATTAACTGTATCTTAATAATGCCAAAACAAATTGCTGTTGTGACCTTTTTCAACTCTTAAAACTCTTTCTCGTGTATTATAAGTTGATATTACTATTAGCTTGTGGAAAGATTAAGATATGTGGAATTTATTTGTTTCTCGTTGGAGCGCTTTCCAGTCTCTTAATTTTTAATAGATAAAAGAAAATCTGTACTTTTCAAAATCGAGAAAACAGATAGGATTCTATGATTCGATTCCTCCCTTTGTCAAAGACTTTTTCATTGCTTTTGATGGTTTTGCAACTCTCTCAGCTGACGATTCTTTGCATGGAGTTCTTAATATTGCTTTGACATTTAACTTCAAAACCTAACTATAACAGTTTTCTGTTAAAATGGAATTTTACAGTAACATTGTAGATATATTCTCTAAATTTCATCTCCTAAAAACCATGGTGAAGTTGTTATAGTTTGCATTCCATGATGGACGGGCAAGTTGATTACTGAAAAGATAATATAATTTTGTTCCATTTAACTGGAGACAGAAAATAAGATACGCAACTTAAAATAATTTACAATGTTAATACAGGTGGAAGTGGACAAGGTTCACAAACAGGTAAATTCTCTTTTGTTTTCATTCTTAATCTAGATAATTTGGTTTAGACCTTTTTTAGAAATTAGAAGTGAGAATCATCATAAATAAATGTAATCCTTGTCAATCAGTATCGTATACGCGGGTTGTAAGAAGTGGTGTTCCAAGATCTCCTGGAGGAAGAAGAAATTTGGCACTTACTTCGGTTCCTTTCTTTTTGATCGTTCTAGGTGCATTTACACTCGGGGGGTCAACTGCTGCCAGGTAATTCTAATTTCCAGGCTGATATAAAATAATCATTTTTGATCGGCTGTGTCCTAATTGAATAGCCACAACTTGATTTTGTGAATCAGGGCTTACAGGAAACAGAAAGAGTCCTGTGCTTCTTACAATCCCTTCCTCCCCTGATCATGAATGTCCACAACAATGCTCCGGTTAAATAGTAGAAATATTATTTGCGAAATTTTGTATTGTACGTGTGTGTGTGTGTGTGTGTGTTATAATAAAATTCCATTTGCTTGGCCTGAGTTCTCCGTGTATATTAGGGGCGGACCCAGGAAGTATTTTCTGTGTGGGTGATATCAACCACAACCCGGATGATTCACTGCACTTCTCCGACAATATACTATTATATACAAAACTAAAACAAACCATATCGAATGTTGGATACGTGTTAGACATGAAAACGCCACCATAATGGTCGTGTACGTGTGTCAAGGACCGCAGCTTTTCTTAGCCTCTTGACACTATCGCAGTCGCAGTTTGCCCAATTTCGATCGCACATTGTAAATATTACTTCAACTTTGAGTTGTAATTTTCTTTTCATTGTAATAGTTATTTTAGTTGTAAAATAGCTCTGATATTAGTAAACGTTTAGTATGATTTCTCGTCTTTTAAACGTCTATTCCTGTCACTTAGGTTTTTGTTCAAAATGCTATTATATGGGGTATTAGTCATTCAAAAATCTTTCAAGCTCACTGGTGTTCGCCCCCTGCACCAGCAATTATAATTTTCTACTTTCGTCAATTGTAATGTTCAGTTTTTATTAATCAATGTTCAATTTACTTTCAATGTATTTAAATTCTCTATTGCAAGCCTTCTACAAAATTGTAATCAAATTTTTTTTCGTCCCGACGCGACCGAGAAAAGGTGGAAGGTAGTCTAGCGGAGCAGACTACTGTCGCACGGTGTCCATTTCTGTGCCAAGAAAGGCACCTCGTGAAAGTTGGTATAAGAGTTGCGGCTCACGACCCTCGATAAGAAAGTTATGGATTCAATTACATCCCACACCACTGAAATGGAAGAGCCTCAAAAGAAGAGTACTATTAAACAACGCGTGGATGCGTTTGATGAGACAACTACTAGGTTGTGCTATGCCTTGGACGGTCTCGAGGAAAAAGTCGAGATGGTAGAATTCGAGATTTGCGGATTACACATCCAATTGGATAAAAGCCAAAGGGCTTGCGCAGCAATAACTGAAACTGCTGCAATCATTCTTGATCTGCAGGATGAAATGGAATCATTAAGAGCTCAATTGCGGATACTACAACGTGCGGTGGGCAATGGGCAAGCTCCCATACCTGAGTATGCTCCTAGACTCAGAATTCCTGAACCGTATACCTACGGAGGGGCATGTGATGCAAAAGAAGTCGAAAACTTCTTGTTTGACATGGAACAGTACTTTCTCGCAGCTTCGATTGAAGACGAAGCTAGAAAGGTAACCACAGCTACCATGTATCTATGTGGAGATGCAAAACTATGGTGGCGAACCAAATATGCTGACATTCAGACCAACAGAGTTCGAATAGATTCTTGAGATCTCCTCAAGGAAGCGATCAGATCGCAGTTTTTCCCGGAAAATGTCGAGTATCAGGCTCGACGGGCACTTCGAGACCTGAAACACACAAGCTCTATCAGGAAGTATGTGAAATCCTTTTCAGGACATATGCTGAATATTCAAGATATGTCGGAAAAGGATAAGCTCTTCACCTTTAGGGAAGGGTTGAAACCGTGGACACGCACGAAATTTCAAAGACAGAAAGTTACTGATTTGAGCACGGCCATGGGAGTCGTCAAATGCTTGAGCAACTACCAAACAGAATCTAGAAAAGATCGACCTTCGGGGAGTAATCAAGCAATTGGAGGTGGTAACAGACCCTACGGACGTAGCTCGAACCCAAACGGCAGCAACTGTAACAGTTGGAACAAAGGAAAAGCAACAGAGGGCCGAACTGATGTCACTCCCAAATTGAAGTTCTTTTTATGTGAAGGACCTCATCGGGTGTCGGAGTGTCCTCAGAAGCGGATGGTGAATGCACATTGTCAGCTAGCAAGTGGCAGGTCAAGTTCAAAGCAAGAGGCCCCAAAAGCTAATTGTCATAGTGAGACTGACTCCGAAGAGGATGAGGACGTAGTTGCGACATTTTCACTTCGATGCAACACATTGTCGCATCGGGTTGCTGAAAAAGATGATGTTTCATTGAAAAAGGCAAAGATGGAAGAAGCGAATACTCAAATTTGTAGGGCCAAAGGTTTAATGTACATTGATGTAAAAATCAACGGGAAGCCAATCAGGGCTATGGTGGATACTGGTGCTACCCACAACTACCTTGCATGTATCGAAGTAGAGCGGCTCGGACTTGTTCTGGAAAAGGGTAGTGGAAAAGTCAAAGCAATCAACTCCGCTGCTCAACCAATAGCTGGAGTAGCAAAATCGGTGTTGATCAAAGCAGGTCCTTTCGAGGGAAGGACAAATTTATCTGCAGTTCAGATGGATGATTTCAAGCTTATTCTGGGATTGGAATTTCTTCGAGATACTAAGACAGCAGCGTTGCCATATTCCGATTCGTTAATGATGATGGTTAATAAGCTGTGTGTCATCCTTACACATGTTGGGAGGATGGGCGAGAAGAGTATCTCAACCATGTAATTTAGTAAGAGTTTTAAGAGAAATGAACCTTCTTTTTGTGCACTCTTCGATTAGAGAAGATCGAAGAGGTGAAAGGTTTTGTTCCAAAACCCGTTAAAAGGCTTATTCAGGAATTTGAGGACATCATGCCGGACGAATTATCAAAGAAATTACCACTAAGAAGAACGATTGATCATGAAATTGAACTTATTCCAGGTGCCAAACCTCCTGCCAGGGCACCATACCTATGTCTCAGCCTGAGCTTGAAGAGCTTAGGAGGTAATTGGGAGAAATGTTGGAGAGTGGAATCATTGTGCCTACGAAGTCGCCATACGGAGCTCCTGTATTGTTTCAGAAAAAATGCCGATGATTCTCTTAGAATGTGTTGTGATTATCGAGCCTTGAACAAGATTACTGTAAAGAATAGCTATCCTATCCCACTAGTTGTAGATTGCTTCGATCGATTGAGTCGGGCAAAGTATTATACCAAAATTGATCTTAGATCTGGATACTGGCAAGTACGGATCAAGGAGGGAGACGAAGCAAAGACTACGGTGGTAACCAGTTATGGAGCCTTTGAATTTAAAGTGATGCCTTTTGGTTTGACAAACGCTCTAGCAACATTTTGTACTATGATGAATCAGGTACTTTACGGGTTCTTAGATGATTTTGTCGTGGTGTACTTGGATGACATAGTAATCTATAGCGAGACATTGGAGGAACATGTCCAACATGTGAGGCAAGTTTTTAGTCGACTACAGGAGAATGAACTCTATGCCAAGCCGTCTAAATGCTCGTTTGCTTAGACATCTATCAGTTTCTTGGGTCACATCATTGAACAAGGTAAAATTCGCATGGATTTGAAGAAGGTTACAGCCATCAAAGATTGGCAACCACTAAAAATCGTACATGATGTACGTTCATTTCTTGGGTTATGCAATTACTATCGAAGATTTGTGAAAGGCTACTCAGAAATTGCATTGCCACTTACCGAATTGACAAAGAAGGATAATGATTGGGATTGGTCATCTCAATGCCAAACTGCTTTTGAAAGGTTGAAAAAGTCCATGTGGACGAACTCGGTTTTAGCCTTACCGAATATGACTAAACCATTTGAAGTTCATACAGATGCTTCAGATTTTTCACTTGGTGGAGTCCTCATGCAAGAAGGACATCCGGTAGCATATGAGAGCCGGAAGTTAAACTAAACAGAACGTCGTTACTCGGCACATGAAAATGAATTGTTGGCAGTAGTCCATTGTCTTAGAGGATCGCGTCACTATTTACTTGGGTCTCCATTTATTGTAAAGATAGATAACACTGCAGTTAGTCATTTCATGTCCCAACCAAAACTATCGAGCAAGCAGGCTCATTGGGAGTTCAATTTTATATTAGAGTATCGTCCTGGATCTAGTAATCATGTTGTTGATGCTCTTAGTCAATGGGCCGATTTGGCTGCCATTTGCTCCGTAGCTGCTCTTTCAAGGAGTGTCGTCTCCACGAACACTAGAGATCAAATTCGGGCACTTATGGAGAAGGACCTGGCTACTCAATATTTGGTCGACCTCATCAAGCAGGGTAAAACTCGACAGTTCTGGCTCGATGGGGAACTAGTGAAGACAAAGGGAGATTGCCTATATGTTCCTAAGGGCGGAGATTTGAGGAAATCACTAATTACAGAATGCCATGACACGATTTGGGCAGGGCATCCCGGAGAGGAACGCGATTGTGCACTACTGCAACGTGCATACTACTGGCCTCAAATGCGGGATGACATTGCAACCTATGTAAAAATATGTCTTATTTGTCAGCAAGATAAGGCAGATCATCAGAAAAAGACGGGCTTGCTGGAGCCCTTTTCCGTCCCAACCCGACCATTCGAAAGTGTATCGATTGACTACATTATTGGGTTGCCAAAAGTTGAGGAATTTGGCACTATCATCGTCGTGGTAGACCATCTATCAAAATATGCAACTTTCATTGCAGCGCCTAAGTATGTATCCGCGGAAGAGACAACTCAACTCTTCTTCAAATATATTGTCAAATACTGGGGACTGCCTAAGGACATCGTCAGTGATCGAGATCCTCGTTTTACTGACATATTTTGGATTGAGTTGTTCAAACTTCTTGGTTCAACTTTGAGCATGAGTTCTAGTTTTCACTCACAATCTGACGGACAGACGGAGCGCTTCAATTCTATGCTAGAAGAATATCTTCGCCACATTATCTTTACTTCGCAGAAAAACTGGGTAAAACTTTTGGATGCGGCTCAAATTTGCTTCAATGCCCAAAAGAGCTCTTCTATCAATAAGAGTCCTTTTGAGATTGTTACTGGCCAGCAACCGCTACTTCCTCATACAGTGGATATCGAACGAAGTACCAAGTCCCCTCAATCAAAGAATTTTTCTCAAGAGTGGAAACGAAATATTGAAATTGCTCGGACTTATCTTGAGAAAGCTCAAAAAGAGTATAAAAAGGCTGCAGATCTAAAGCGTTGCTTCATTGAATTCAATGTTAGAGATCTGGTAATGGTTAAACTTCCCGACAGAAATGTTTATTAACCAACAAGAGAGAAGGACTCATGATTGACGCCAAAATAAATTGGACCATTACCCATTGTGAAGAGGATTGGAAGAGTTGCATACAGAGTTGAACTACTTTCATGGTGTAAAATCCACAAGGTCTTTCATGTTAGTGTGTTGAAGCTATACTTTGCGGATAATGAGGACGCATCTAGAAATGAGC